CACATTTCAGTTCAAACAACTTGTAAAAGTGCATGTAGCATACTATGACCCCTTTAAAAAAATGTCATTACATTATTTTTAACAACTAAGCTTTTGATTATTTATAACGTTTTATTAAAGAAGAAATTTTCACAGAATGATTTCGGTAAAGTGGTGCCCCCCTATGTGTGGCGCCCCTATGCACTGCTTATACTGCATACCCCGTTTTTGTGCCACTGACCAGAACAACAGCAGCAGCGGCAGCAGCCACACCCACCAGAGCAGTGACGACCAATTGGATCACAGCTTCAGTAGAACCACAGCAGTGGACAGAGTCTGAGGAATAAAAACATGAAACACGAGTTCAGCTCAGTCAATAACGTTAAATATCGGTTACAGCTGTTTTATTTGTCATAGATTTAAAGTAGATTGAATTAAATATGCTGTAGTAACATTTCAATTTATAATCTCAATATGGCAATTTATTTTTTTAAATAAATTAAATCATTTATTATTTATTTAAAAACGATTAAATCATTATCACATTCAAGATTTATTTTGAACTTATGTCAGATTGTTTGTAAAATGCTGTAAATTTGACCAATTATGGTTCCTGTTGAGATTTCTTTACTTTTCAATAGTTTTGAAAAAGAGGAATAAAGCCCAGAATGCAGAGAGCGATTTATTTAGCGATACTAAGCAGCTAATTATTTATCTTTTACAGGAAGAATAAAAGTTACGCCTTCTTTCTTTGCGTGAACATTTGGGCGTTATGCAAATCTTCCCACATCGTGACGTAGACATGTGGGGGCGTGTTAGAACGAGCCGTTTTAGGTAGGCGTGGCTGACTCAACTTTTATAAAGAATATCTCTTTGGATTTGAGACTCTAGTCTTTGCAACTTTACAGATCTTCTTTATGCACCAAGAGCTTGTAACACTCCAAAGAGAAAGGAAAAATTTAAATCGCATCATATGACCCCTTTAATAAATACATGAATGGGAAATATTGATTTGACTTTAAATTATTTTATAACTGTATATATTCTGCGAACATTTGTAATGTCAAAACCAAGTGTGTCGCATGAGAGAAAAGTGAAGCCAGGGTGTCTCGATCGCCCCTGGTGACTGGCTGCAGAATAGGTCATAAACCCCGCCCTCCCCATGTAATCTAATGGGACGTGAGACAAACTAAATTATCAATTTACACTTCAAATTAATTTTTTCCAAAGATGGTTTCATTTATTTTAGGTAGTTCTTAACATGCTGATGTATGTACAAGTGTGTAACAATTTAGCTTTTGACTAGTTATTTGATGCTATAAAAATAGGGTGTGGTGTCATGATTATGAGCTTGTGATTGGATCTTCGGGAGTTTGGGCGGGACTTTGATTCCATGGCTCCACCTCACGATCACTACTGAGCAGACCCAAATTACTCCAATTTACATAATTTTCCCAAAATGACAGCGGCCATACTGAGAATGTTTTGGCTTCACTTTTCTATAGTGGAAGGAAGTGGACATAGTCATCCATATTTTTTTTAAGTCTATTGTCAAAACAAATGGCTTAACAAGGCTACAATACTCAATATTAATACTGAAGTAATAACTGAGACACAAGATGGCGGCAGATGCTTTTGTATGAATCAAGAGTGCGCGAGTCCGTGCCTGAACCAAATATGCGGTCTGAAAAAACAGTATGGACAACAGTGATTATTAGGAAATACTTGAATAAAGCGATTGACCAATCAGAATAGAGTATTCCACAAAGCCGCGTAATAAACGCTAGTATCAGCTCTGCTGTACCTGAACATGTGAGACAGAGTTGAGTGATGTCCAGATGTTGAGTCTGGCTGCTGATGGGATTGTTGAGCACACAGCTGTAGCTGTTTTTCTCCTGATATTCCACCTCCAGAGGTAGAGAGAGACTGATGCTGAGATCAGACACACTGATGCTGGACAATAAACTGTTTCCTTTGTACCAGGAGAGACTCACATGACCCACATTCACCACTGAACACACCAATGAACAATATAATGATAAAGAACAGTTTGAAGAGTTACTGCTGATGACAGGAACCGACAGACGAGCTGAAAACATAAGAAATATGACCAAATTTAATCATCAGTCTTATTTTCGGTTCAAAGTGTTCAAGAGTCTGTAATCTCAAACTGTAAAAAGATTTTATTTGAAGGACAAGACAAATCATCTCTACTCACCATAGACAGAAACTCTGAATGCTTTTGATGACAGTTTTCCTCCAGTTATCTCTAGTTTATAATGTCCAGTGTGTTCAGTTGTGATGTTTGTGATGGTCAGAGATCCGGTTTGATTGTCCAGCTTCAGTCTGTCTCTGAATCTCCCAAATGCACAATTAAATGTGGAGAAGATTACAGCAGCTCTGTTGATTTCACACTTTTTTGTTTCCCACTCCCACAGAATATCATTTTTGTTCATTTCAGTTCGACCAGTGTTTCGAGTAACAGAGTCTCCCTCCGTCACTGATATATTTTCTACATCACAAATACACAGAAACAGGGTTATTTTAATAAACTTTATGATGGTTTATTAAAATAATTAGCTTGGCATTTAAATTTCACTTTAAAATGTAAACCAGTGAAACTCACTATAGACAGTGAGAATAAAACTTATCCTCATCCTCACTTATCCTCAAAATTCTCCACAAAATAATCTGCTCACATCACCCCTATTCCATTTAATCTTCACTGGTTGCCTGTATCTATTCATGTGCAATACAAAATTATTCCGCTCACCTTTAAAGCACTCAAAGGTCTTGCTCCCTCCTATCTTTCTGACCTACTCAATTCTTATATTCCGTCTCGCTCACTCCGTTCTTCTAGTTTAGAACTTCTTTGTGTGCCTAGGTTCCGCCTATCTTCAATGGGCGGCAGGTCCTTTTCTGTCACTGCTCCCAGACTTTGGAATTCACTTCCCCTGGCACGCAGAACAGTCACCTCTTTCAGTGAATTTAAATCAAAGCTTAAAACATATTTGTTTAATCAACACTAAATAGCATTGTGTATTTGTTTTCTTTTTTATGTCTTTATTACATAATCTGTTATATGCAACTGCATTATTTGTTACGGAGTTGGGCAAATGTCCAATGTCCACTTAAATTGTTATTTTGTAATGAGTATTTGTTGTATTGGTGTACCTTGTAAAGCATTCTTGAGCCTGGGAAAGGCGCTAAATAAATGAAACATATTATTATTATTATTATTGGTCTGTTGTTCTGTAATTCATAATGTCCAGCATGTTTTATTGTGGTGTTTGTGATGGTCAGAGATCTGGTTTGATTGTCCAGCTTCAGTCGGTCTCTGAATCTCCCGTCAAGAACATCATCATATACTGTCATGCTGCCGGTCGTTATATTGACTTCAGCTATCAAATATTTCCCAAACCACCACTGAATCCAATCATCCTGCTTTATTTGAGTAAAATAAGTGTTTAGAGTGACAGATTCTCCTTCCATCACTGACTCTGGTGCCAGTACTATAGCACCAAACACTCCTGAAGAACAGAGTTTATCACAGATCAAAATCACTTGATTGGTTGATGAAGCTCGACTAAAATACTTTTAATAATTTAAATGTGAAGTAAAACTCACCAACCAGACACCACAAACACATCCAGAACAAAACTAATTTAAGAAGCATTTTCTTCATCGGTTCATGATAGTGATGCTTAACAGTGTCTGAAAACACTCTGAAACACGACTGAAGAACTGATATTTATCTGGTTGAATCCTCCCTCAACAGGATTCGACCTGCATCAGTTTGTTTTATCAGAGGAAGTCATGAAAATGAACAAGATTTTGCTGACCTTACATTTTCAAATGAATTCCAGCCCTGTATGAAAACTAATAGCAGAAACCTGAAATGTTGCATGAGTGTTGTATTAGATATCCATGATATATTCATCACCTTTAGTGTCAATTTCCCACATTTAATCAATAAATTCAATTAGAATAACACAACTCTACAGGACTGTTATTAATCAAATAAATTCAGCAGCAACAAAATCCATCTTATCGCGACACATACACATGCTCTGAATGTAAACAAGGCACAGCACATGCGTGTTCTACATCAGTAACAACACACGCATGCGTTATGCTCAGAACAAATCATGCCCATGCGTCGTGATACTCTCCAAAATAGTGCTATAGGGTGACACGGAGGAGACAAATTGTTGAGTAAAGTCGTTCTTTTTTTTTTGCACAAGAAGTATTCTCATAGTTTCATAAATTTACGGATGAACCACTGATGTCACATGGATTCTTTTAACGATGTCCTTGCTATGTTTCTGTGCCTTGATCGTGGTAGTATCCTTGCTGTCTATGGGAGTGTCAGAGAGCTCTCGGATTCCATAAAAAATTATCTTAATTTGTGTTCCGAAGATGAACGAAGGTCTTACGGGTTTGGAACGACATGAGGGTGAGTAATTAATGACAGAATTTAAATTTTTTGCGTGAACTAACCCTTTAATGCTGAGATTCTAACAAACAAAGAAAGTTCAGATTTCAGTATTTAAGGGAAGATTTAAAAACCAGTAATCAAACATCCTGTTCAGCTCTTCTAGATCTGATGTCATAAACCAGAACAGCAACAGCGGCGAAAGCAGCCACGCCCACCAGAGCAGTGACGACCAATCGGATCACAGCTTCAGTAGAACCACAGCAGTGGACAGAGTCTGAGGAATAAAAACATCAAACTTAGATCAGGGGTGTATTCCAGAAAGCACGGTTAACTTACCATCAGCTAAACCCTGAACTCTCGGTTGATTAACCCCAAACCTTGCTTACTTGAGGTATGTGGTTCCAAAAACGCATCCGGGAGTAAGTTCATTCAACACAGAGTATGTTCCTGGTTAAGATTCAAGACATTCTCAACAGAGTGACGAATCGACGAGTCACAATGGAAATGGATTCTAAGAAAAAGTGTGCCATGCTGTTTCTTTCTTCTTCTTTTGTTCAATGCTCGTTTACATGCTTAGTGCATATCACCAACTAATTGATGGTTGTGCAATCATTTTTCTTTTTTTTCTGTTTAATCTTTAATCCTTGAGAATATTAATTTTATTGTTTGTTTGATGTTGATTATATATTAAGTCATATCAGATATGTATTTTGATTTAGAATTTAGACATTATAGAAAATGCCGATCCATGTGTGAGATGATAATATAAAATGTAATAAATGTAATAAATAAATATATATAATATAATATAATAAATTAAACATTACCTTGTCATAGTGTTTTATAATTTATACAGATAACTGTTATATATGCCAATAAAATAAATAATAACCATATTAGAATAATATATTACCTTATTTATTACTTATATTAGCGCTTCATCATTAACATATCATACAATATATATATATATATATATATATATATATATAATAGGCTATATTACATATTGTAAAATTATATAATATTGTGCGCTATCTGTCACGCCCACTGAAGGCTTGTCAGTAGATCATGTGCTGATCATGCATGCGCTGATAGCGCTGAAGTGAACTAACCCTGGAACATAACCTGATCCGGAGCAGGTTGCTATAGTTACTTACATACCCTGAAAGTAACCTCCGATTTTGGAACCGAAAGCTGAGGTTATCCGATCACTTATCCTCACACATACCCGGGTATGTCACAAAACCTGCTTTCTGGAATACCCCCCTGCTCAGTCAATAACGTTACAGCTGTTTTATTTGTAATAGATTTAAAGTAGAATGAAATAAAAGGCGAGAAAAAAGTGCATCAAAGAATGTATTTGTGATCTTAAATGACTAAGTGGTTTGTTTTATGTATATTAATTATTTGTGTAAAATTGGTATGAAAAGTCGGCGCCGTTATGCTTGTGGGCCCGAGTTTGAATCCCGGCTTGAGGACCTTTCCCGATCGCACCCCCCTTTCTCTCTCCCACTTCAGTTCCTGTCAGCTCTACACTCTACTATCATAATAAAGGCAAACACATCAAAAATAAATGAGTGCTGTCAAACGATTAATTGCGATTAATCGCATCCAAAATAAATGTTTTTGTTTACATAATATATGTGTGTGTACTGTGTATATTTAAAGATGGTCTGATGAGACCAAGATATAACTTTTTGGCCTTAATTCTAAGCGGTATGTGTGGAGAAAACCAGGCACTGCTCATCACCTGTCCAATACAGTCTCAACAGTGAAGCATGGTGGTGGCAGCATCATGCTGTGGGGGTGTTTTTCAGCTGCAGGGACAGGATGACTGGTTGCAATCGAGGGAAAGATGAATGCGGCCAAGTACAGGGATATCCTGGACGAAAACCTTCTCCAGAGTGCTCAGGACTTCAGACTGGGCCGAAGGTTTACCTTCCACCAAGACAATGACCCTAAGCACACAGCTAAAATAATGAAGGAGTGGCTTCACAACAACTCTGTGACTGTTCTTGAATGGCCCATCCAGAGCTCTGACTTAAACCCAATTGAGCATCTCTGGGGGGTCCTAAAAATGGCTGTCCACCAACGTTTACCATCCAACCTGACAGAACTGGAGAGGATGTGCAAGGAGGAATGGCAGAGGATCCCCAAATCCAGGTGTGAAAAACTTGTTGCATCTTTCCCAAAAAGACTCATGGCTGTATTAGATCAAAAGGGTGCTTCTACTAAATACTGAGCAAAGGGTCTGAATACTTAAGACCATGTGATATTTCAGTTTTTCTTTTTTAATAAATCTGCAAAAATGTCAACAATTCTGTGTTTTTCTGTCAATATGGGGTGCTGTGTGTACATTAATGAGGAAAAAAAATAACTTAAATGATTTTAGCAAATGGCTGCAATATAACAAAGAGTGAAAAATTTAAGGGGGTCTGAATACTTTCCGTACCCACTGTATATATATATATATATATAAATAAATGAGCAATATCACTCGAGTACAAGAGCAATTAGCTGTGATTAGGCCAGAGCCGCTGATATAGAGATTGATTGCACGTATCGCTCTCGTACTCGAGTGATATTGCGTTTATACAACAGTTCGACAGAACATGTGTGTAATTAAACAAGAAACAACTGTGCCTAATAAAACCCTCTTTTGTGCGGAACTACTTCCTTCCGCCACGGATTCAAAGCTCAAGTTGGCAGTTAAACATACGTCACTTTTAGAATTCGTTTCAAGCGCATGTGCTGCTTCAGTTAGGTTATTAGTGAGAAATAATGAGGTTATAATAGAGAAACAATGCATCCAAATGAGAGAGAGAGACTGCGAAGCTAGACGTTTCTTCTTATATTAACTAACATACTCTACGATTAGCTCAGTGAATAATAAATAAAAAAACATAGCCCCGGCTAGAACAAGCGGAGTGATACAAAATTGTGAAAGGGCATTCCTGTAGCGATACCAGTACAATATCTCACGGTTCCCATCAGATTTGAGAACCAGAATGAACTGTTGTATATATATGTATATATAAAAATAAACACAAATACATGTATATGTTTAAGAAAAATATGTTATGTTTATATTAGGGTGACCATACGTGCCATTTTCCCCGGATGCGTCCTGGCCAGGATTTCTATATTGCCTAAAATATCTAGGTTTTGGCTTTCTTTGCATGTGCAGACCGATCGGTGTATGACATCAAAATACCATACAGACAGTTCCTTATGCTTTCAAAATGCTCTCGAGGTACTTTGACGTCAAACACTGATCGATCTGAGCCGCGCTGCTTTTAAGTCACATCCTATGTACGCGTAATTGCCTCGCTTTGACCGTAGATCCCACCTTCTCACACACACCATGATTGGTCCATTATGTACAATGCCTGCATGTTATTGGTCAAACTACTTTTCGATCATTACCTTCAGCAAGCATGAAACCAGGAAAAAACAAAGCCAAAACAATTCCTGGCAAGGACGCATCCGGGGAAAATGGCACGTATGATCACCCTAGTTTATATTAGTGCTGTTAAATGATTAATCGCAATTAATCACATCCAAAATAAAAGTTTTTGTTTACATAATATATTCTCAGTGGATTTTCATTATGGCAACATTAATAATAATAATATTATAAATAGCCATTAAAGTAACTTTAAAAAATGCTTTTTAAAATTTTTTTTAAATGAACCTTTGATATATTAGAGTAGTATTTCTTGTACTGCATTTAATTTTTGCTGCTTTCTTTGAAAACCATTGCATTAAGGACTTTTTACAGAAAGATATAAAACTGCATGCTCACTTATAGGTTTATTTTTATCAGCTTTTCGGCAGAAGGTCAGGGTGCGTTCGTATTAATGCTTCATTACAGAATTTATAAAAATACTTTATTACAGTAGAGAGAAAATGATAAGCATCATCGAGATTATTGAGAATTACTTAATAAATTGTAATTAATTGAATGTTCATTAAATTAGGCTAAACATATTACATCTTTTTAATTTCTTTTGTTTGATTTTTGGGGCAAAAATGCATGAGAGCCTATTTCCACCAAATGAAAAGAAAATCATGTGTTAGTTAAAAGTCGAAATGATGACAGTTGAAATTTTGAGATAAAGCAAAAACTAATATTTAATTAATAGTCATTAATTGCGATTAATCGCATCCAAAATAAAAGTTTTATTTACATAATATATGTGTGTGTGCTGTGTATATATATTATTTATATATATATATATATATATATATATATATATATATATATATATATATATATATATATATACACACACACACAATAAATATGCTTATTTATTAAATATATTTATATATAATATAAATTGTATTAACATAAATATATACTGTATGTGTGTGTATTAAGAGGGGATGCCACACAGTGGTAAACATGGCCTTGTCCCAACTTTTTTTGAGATGTGTTGATGCCATGAAATTTAAAATCAACTTATTTTTTCCCTTAAAATGATACATTTTCTCAGTTTAAACATTTGATATGTCATCTATGTTGTATTCTGAATAAAATATTGAAATTTGAAACTTCCACATTGCATTCTGTTTTTATTCACAATTTGTACAGTGTCCCAACTTTTTTGGAATCGGGTTTGTACATATAAACAGTACAAACACCTATATTATGTAAACAACAACTTTTAATCATTTGACAGCACTAAAATAAATCTTTAAAAAAAAATTATGAAGACCAGCAGCACAAATGACACTGTAATTGTGACTCACCAGAGACAGTAACATTGAATCTGTATGTGATCACTGTCCCGTTCCTGATGATCTCCACTCCATAAAGTCCAGAGTCTGTGGTTCTGCTGTTTGTGACGATCAGAGATCCAGTCTGATGATCCAG